CCACACCGGGAAGGAGGGGGGGGGGGGAAAAAGGAACATAAATAAGGAATAATAAGAGCGGAGTTCAGCGCCGGAGCGGAGAGCACCGGGCAGGGCAGTCCCTTATGTAATTCCCAGTTTGTGGATTAACAGGCAGCTCTTCCCGACATTCCCGACTCCATGTGACAGCGAATCCCCGGAGTTTCATCCCCTGTAACGCTCTCCTCGGAGCAGGGGGATGGAAGGAGGAGGGAATGTTGCTCCGGGAACGCTGCTCCGGGACCGCGTGTGTGCTCTGCCTGTCCGGGCAGGAGGCTCCCAGGAGCTGGAGAGCAGCAACCTGTAGCTACAAGCCCACCTCCGGCACCTTCCCAGCTCCAACAACAACAAAAAACCCAACAAAACTCAACACCAGGACGTCAACTTACTGGTTTCCAGTTTGCCGGTGGGAAATAAGGAGGTGCCCGAAGCAGGAAGGAAACGGGCGCCCGAGCGGGTTAAGAGCGGGCAGGAGGGAGTTAAAACGCAGCGCCGGGACGCCTGGGAGCATCCTCTGCTGTGGAAAATGCCAGCAGCGGCCCTTCCCACGGCAGGGAGAGGGTCTCACGTGGTGGAAAACGGGAGGAAAACGAGCCCGAAGGTGCCTGCCGGGAGTGGCCGCCCAGATCCGTGAGGAGCCTCGGCGGCCGGGAGGTCCCGGTCACACTCCCACCGGGCCGGCCACGCTCCAAGCCGGGCCGGCCACGCTCCTGCCGGGCCGGCCACTCACGTTTTTTTTCAGGGATGGGCGCTGGGAAGCCGCTGATTGCCAAGGGATCTGCGGCTCATCTCACCACCGTGGCCTTGGCTCCCACCCGCGCCCGCGGGGCAGCTCTAGCCCGGGTCCAGTTTCTCGCACCTTGTCACATCGATGACGCCCAGCGAGCCCTCCAGAGTTCCCTCCCACCTGCACGGCGGGAAGATTCCCAAATCCTGGGAGTGCACGGGGGAAAAGGAGCCCCCACCGTGCGCTCCCAAGGTGCTTCTGCAGCCGCCCGGGCTCTGCCACCGGAGCCGGCGCTGACACGGAAACTGAAACTATGCGGAGGGAAGGCGATACGGGGCAGGGAGCTGGGAGGGAAACAATTGTCCCTGGATACTCGCAGAGAGGATCCCAGCGCTCGTCTGACCTCGTTTACTCCCGCTGACGTCCTCCCAGAGCTTCTCCGGGATGCTCCGGGCACAGGGATCGGGACGGACACACCGGAGGTGGCACCGAAAACGAGCGCCCGTTCGGATCAAAGGGCCGCGGGATCGGGGAGAAATGTTTCCCTTCATCCCACAGACTGCCTGTCTTTCTCCCTTCCCCTGAGTTCTGCTCGTCTAAAGGCTTTTAATTACAGCCTGGTCTGCTCAAATTTGAGGTTAAGGCTGGTTGGGAGAGTAGTTAAAGCAACTGTTTATTGCCTGGACTAGGCAAGATAACGAGCCGGGTTCTAATTGTTCACCACACAAGTCTGCTCTTCCAATACACTCAGCATCCTGAGACGGGGAAAAACCCTCAAGTGTCAGTTTTAATCAAGATTAAACCACAGTTCTCGAGTGTTTAGGCTCCAGTCTCCAACGCAGACCGGGAATTTCACAGGCCACCCCTCAGTTTTTAGGTGGGACACCCGCGTGGGACTTGATCCTGCAGCTAAAACCCAGCACTTGGGCACCACTTGATGCCCAAAGAAGGTCTCAGAGAAGACAAGAGCACCCAAACCATCCCAGCGCCTCGGTGGGAGCATAAATTTCCCCCTGATTTGCCTCCCGTGCCCACATCCAGATTCCCACGCCGGATGAGAACAACTGGAGTTTTGAATTCGGCTTCGAGAAGTCGCCCGACGCGAAGGGGAACCCACGGCCTTTGCTGGGCCGAATGAATTCCACCCAGCTCAGCCCCAGAGCTCCCCACGAAACCCACGGCACGGCTGAAGTTCAGCACCAGACCCCACGAGACGAAACAAGAGCGAAAAACGATTAATAAAAAAAAAAAAAAAAAAAAGAGAATGGGTACAGGAAGAGTTGCAGAGCAGCAGAAAGCGAAGAACTGCTTTCATTCACCACCAAATTTATTAAGGAGCTCCTGCCTTGCAAAACCCTCCCTGGAGTTACTAATGCAATTAAGGCTTGGTGGAAAAATCCCACCATCTCACCCATGTTTGGGTTGCGCCTCTTTCACTCCCTCTTTCACCAGAACAAGCCTAAACAGGGGCCAGAATGAATATTAAACAAGAATGGCTCCTCTCTAATAAACTGCTCAGTTTCTCTCGGTCTCCTTTACTTTTTTATTTATTTTTTTTTTTTAAAAAGTAGTTTAAATCCAACAACTCCAGCAAACCACCCGAATTAAAGCCAGCCCGTCTCTTCCTGCTCAGCCTCCACGAGTGCCCACATATTACAATTTCCAACCAGGCCCGGCAGAAACCTTGAGAAATAAAACGATTCCTTGAAAAACACCAACAAGAACCAACCCCAAACACTCTCAGAAAGCGCCGGGATGACCTTTTAGCTCCGTTGCTACGCCGAGCACAACTTCAACCCTCATTAGGTTGTAAATTCTTCCAGGCAGAGCCTTTCTCTACCCATGTCCATAAAATACTTATTATATAAGTTATGGCTTCGATAGCCAGGACAATTAACAGCCCTGAGGACACAAGGGCTGATCTTGAACTCAGACCGGCAGCAAACTCTTACCAAGAGTCCTTGAGCCCACAGAAACTTTGGCTGCCCAAGCTCCTCCTGCCCTGCAAACTAAGGGTCTCCAGGAGCTGGGAACAGGGAGAGCCAGGCTGGGGGCCAGGCAGTCACGTCGGCTGTGGTTGTACAACAGGAACTGTTGCTTTCGACACGGGAACGTCGGGATTTACACGTCCTGGTTGAGGTGCCGGAGTCCTGCTCCGCACGCAGGGCTTCCCAGAGAACCATGGAGTTGAGAGAGATCCACGAGGATCATCCAGTCCAACTCTTGGCCCTGCACAGACACCCCAACAATCCCACCCTGTCCCTCAGAGCGTTGTCCAAACCCTCCTGGAGCTCTGGCAGCCTTGGTGCTGTGCCCACTGCCCTGGGGAGCCTGGGCAGTGCCCAACCACCCTCTGGGGGAAGAACCTTTCCCTGAGATCTCACCTGAACCTCTCCTGACACAGCTTCCCAAACCAACTTTTTCCCACACTTCTGGAGCAGCACAGCCAAGGAAGCCCTTGCCCTGGCAGTGCCCAGCTACCGGCCCACGTTCCCAGCGATCTGCCCGTGACTTTGTCCCTGCCTCCAGCCTCCCAACGCAGCAATCCCGGGGAAGAGGGCAGGGACCATCGGCTCTCTCACGGGGGGCTCAGCACTGCACTTCGGGGTACCTGAACCGCCCCACCACCTCAAACTCCAGACCCCCTCAAACTGGAGGGTGGGCCGACGAGGAGAAGGCAGCGGCAGTTCCCCGGGCGAGCAAAGGGGTGTTTTGGCCGGAGCGGGGGCTGCAGCCCCCTCTGGCCGAGCTCTCCCGGCCCGGCCGCTGCGCAGTCCCGCGGGGGGGAGAGGCTTATCCCGCCGGGCTCCTCCGGGCAGCAGCGCCCCGGCCCCGCGGGGGGATTATCACCGCGGCCCCCCCTGCCCGCAGCCGGCCGGGGGGAGATAAGGGAACGGGCGAGGGGGGTCAAAACAAGCCCCTCCCGGGGCGCGCCGCGAGCGAGCGCGGCCGGGCCGGGCCGGCGCCCCCCGGCCCGTAACGACCTTGGGGGTGCGCGGGGACGGGCCCTGCCCGACACCCCCGCGCGGGGCGGCCCCGGGGGACCCCACCCATGACCGGCCTTCCCCCCCCCGCGCCGGCCCGGGCCGCCCCCCCCCGCGGGGCCCACAGGGAGCCTTGGCCGGGCGCCACGACCCCACCCCTTCCCCCGGGCGGGCGCCGCAATGGAGGCCGGGGGGAGGCGGGGGCGGGGGGCGCCGTGCAGGGCGGAGAAGGGGGGGCGGGGGGGGGAAGAGTGTGGCGAGGAAGCGGTGGCGGAGCCGCGGGGGTCGCGGAGCGGGTTGGGGGGTGCCGGGGGTGGCGGTGGCGGGCGGGGGGTCGCGGTGAGGGGTGAGGGGAGTGGGGGGGCCCCGCGCAGGCCCCGCCGCGCCCGTCCCCGGCCGCCCCGCGCGGCGCCCGCCATTGGGCCGGGCGGGCGGCGGGGGCGGGGCGGGGCAGGGGAGGGCGCGCCCCGATTGGCCCCGCCCGCTGCCCGTCAACAACGCCTCTCGCTCTCCCCCCGCCGCCGCCGCGCGGGGGCCGCCGGGAAGCGAAGTCCGCGCGCTCCGCGCGGTGCGCCCGCACCTGCGGCGGGGACCCCGCGAAGGGACTACAACTCCCGGCAACCCCCGCGCCAACACCCCCCCTCACCACCACCACCACCACACACCCGCCCCGCGCCGAAACCCTCCCCCCCCCCCCCCCCCCTCACCCCCCCCCTGTGCGACCCCCCCAGCCCGGCCAAGTCCAACGTATGCCGGGCGGGGGGGGGTTGGGTTGAACCGTGAGGGGGGGGGCAACAACCGCCCACCCCCCCTCCCCCCCGCAACGGACCCAACGACCCCTCCCCCCAAAAAGCGATGAGTTGAGGCCTGACCCCCCCCCCCTCCCCCCCAGCGCCCCCCCCCCATGCCTGCCGCCCCCCCCCTCCCAAATTCCGTACCGGGCGGGGGCCGAGCGGTCCGGTGGAGCGGAGCGGGGCCGCGCCGTGCCGAGGCGGGCGGGCCGGGCCGTGCGGAGGGGCGGGCGGGCGGAGCAGGCTCTGGCCGCCCCGCGGGAGCTGCTCGCCGAGGCCCCGTATGCGGCTCCTTCCTGCTCCGGCCGGGGCCGCCCCGCTCTTAAAGGGGCCGCGCGCCGCCCCCCCCTCCCGCCCCCCCCCCTCCCGTCACACGCGGGGCGCAGCCACTCCGCGGCCGGGGGGGGGCGCAGCGAGGGGACAGGGGGGTGCGGGGGGGACGCGGGGAAGGGACACCCCCCGAACACCCCCGCGGCGCGCGGGGAGTGGGATGGTCCGCGCCGCTCCCCCCGCCCCAAACAGCGAGTGTCACCCCACGCGTGTCACGGGGTGGGGGGACCGCGGGGAGACACCCCCGCCCCGGGCAGGGTTACACGCACCAACCCCCTGCCTGGGGAGCGTCACGCAGAGCCCGAGAGACCCCAGACCCACGCGTGGCACGGGGGAGGGGACTGCGGGGAAACACCCCCCTGGCAGACCCCAGACCCACGCGTGGCACGGGGCGGGGGGCTGCGGGGAAACACTCCCCTAGGGAGTGTCACACACCCCCTGAGAGACACCAGACCCACGCATGCCACAGGGTGACGGGACTGCAGGGAGACCCTCCCTGGGGAGTGTCACACACTCCCTGAGAGACCCCAGACCCACGCGTGGCATGGGATGGGGGGACTGCAAGGAGACCCTCCCTGGGGAGAGTCACACACCCCCTGAGAGACCCCAGACCCATGCGTGGCATGGGATGGGGGGACTGCAGGGAGACCCTCCCTAGGGAGAGTCACACACAGCCCTGAGCGCCCCCAGACCCACGCGTGTCACAAGGTGGGGGGGACTGAGGGGAGAAACCCCCCCGGGGAGTGTCACACACACACACACACACACACACATGCCCTCGAGTGACCCCAGACCCTCTCGTGTCACCCCACAGAGCACCCCCTCCTTGGCCCTTCTGGGTCACCCAACCCAAGTGTCACCCCACGGGGCAGCCCCCGCATGACCCCAGACCCACTCGTGTCCCCGCCGGGCTCCCCCCGGGCCCCTCTAGGTCACCATACCTGCGTATCCCTCCACGGGGTACCCCTACGCTCCCCTAAAACCACTCGTGTCACCCCACAGGACCACTCCTGGGTCCCTCTGGGTCAGCCTTCACACGTGTCATCCCCCACGCCCCCAGACTCACCTGTGTCACCCCATCAGGTACCTCCCTGCACCCCCAGACCCACCCGTGTCACCCCCCACAGCCCCAGACCCACCCGTGTCACCCCCAACCCATGTCACCCCATGGGTACCATCAGGTACCTCCCTGCACCCCTAGACCCACCCATGTAACCCCCAACAAACATCACCCCAGCATGTACCTCCCCACAGCCCCAGACCCACCCGTGTCACCCCCAACCCACGTCACCCCATCAGGTACCTCCCCACACCCCCAGACCCACTCGTGTCACCCCCAACCCATGTCACCCCATCAGGTACCAGCCTACCCACCTCCACCCCCCTCCCACACCCCCAGACCCACTCGTGTCACCCCCAACCCATGTCACCCCATCAGGTACCTCCCTGCACCCCCAGACCCACCCGTGTCACCCCCAACCCACGTCACCCCATCAGGTACCTCCCTGCACCCCCAAACCCACCCCCACCACGTGTCACCCCCCGGGACCCTCCCCACAGCCCCAGACCCACCCGTGTCACCCCCCGCACTCCCAGACCCACCCATGTCACCCCACAAGGTGCCCCCCCGCCCCCTCCCCTCCTCATGTCACCCCCTGTGTCACCTCCCCACGCCCCCAAACCCACCCGTGTCACCCCTTCGGCCCCGCCACGTGTCCCCAGCCCCCCCCCATCACCCCCTTTACTCCCCCCCCATATCCCTGAGATTCCCACCGCATTCCCAGCCCTCCCCCCCCACGCTGGGAAGGGGACACGGAGCCCAAGGTCACCGGTGGGCTGGGAGCCAGCCTGGCAAGGACAGGGACAATCCCGCCGGAGCCACCGGCTCCGGGCCCGCCCCGGGCTGGGGGGGACACGGGGACACAACCCCAGCGTCCCCCATTCCCACCATCCCGCTCCGGAGGGAACCTATCCCTAAAACCCGCGCGTTCCCACGTGGAACACCGTGTGTGTGTGTGTGTGTGTGCGGGGACACCACGGCGAGATTTTGGGGTGGCTTTTGGCTCAATCGTCGCTTTTTTTTCTTAATTAATTCAAGGAAGAGAAAGAAAGAAAAGCAAAAGCTTCGCTCGACAGCCCCCCCCCCCCCTCCAGACTCCAGGGGGCCCCACTCCCCCCCCGCGGGATTTTCCCTTTTCTCCCCTTTTTTGCCTTAAATAACCCCCGGCTCAGCTCCCCACCCCTCCCCCAGCCCCCCGCGGGGGGGGAAAAAGGGATTTTAGAGGCGTTTTGTGGCATTAACCCCATTGTGGGGGTGGGGAAACCGAGGCAGGACGGGGAGGGGGGTTCGAAGGGTCCCTGGGTGTGTCGGGGGGGGCACCGGGAGGGGTTTTTTTTTGGGGGGGCTGCACCCCGGGGTTGGGCCCTGCCCTACGTCACAGCCACCCCGAGCGCTTTCGCTTTCCCCCGGCGCTCCCGGGGGCACGCCCAGGGGGCCCCCCCCAAAATGTCGAGCCCCAATGATCCCCCCCAGCCCCTCCCCTGGCACTGGGGCCACCCCAAAAGCAGCTGCAGCACAGACAGAGATCCCCCCCCCTCTGTGTCTGGGGGCGGGGGGAAGACCCTAAAACACCCCCCCCCATCCTGCCCCACAAAGGGAGCGGGGTTTGGGGTGCCCCTTTTTCCAGCCCTTGTTCCTCCCTGCACCCACAAAATGGTGCTGGGGCGCAGGGGTTGTGCTCAAACCCAGCCTGGGGACCCCCACGGGACCCCCCCACTGTGATCCCAAACCTCCCATGGGTGCAGTGAGTTCGTCCCGGTCTCTGCAGGACACCCCAGACCCTCAGCGACCCCAAAACAGCCGGAGAAGCCAAAGGAGGTGCCCCTAAAAGTGGCACCGCAGGAACCTGGGGTCAGGGACATCATGGGACCCCCCAAAACTGTCCCGGAAAGAGCCTGGCATCGGGTATCACATCACAGGGACCCCCAAATTGCCCCCATGGGACCCCCAGAGTGCCACCACAGGAGCCAGAAAGTGTCACTGCAGGAGCCTGGCAGCGGGTACCACACCACAGGGACCCCCAAAGTGCCACCATGGGACCCCCTAAAGTGCCACCACAGCAACCTGGCATCAGGGATGGCAAAATGGGACCCCAAAAAGTGTCACTGCAGGAGCCTGGCATCAGGGGTGGCACCACTGGACCCCCAAAAATGTCACAGAAGGAGCCTGGCATCGGGTGCCACATCACAGGGACCCCCAAAGTGCCACCACAGGACCCCCCCAAAGTGCCACCACAGGAGCCTGGCATCAGGGATGGCACTGTGGCAGGTGCCCAGTGTCACCCCCTGAGCTCCAGCACCACTCACAGCACAAAAAACTCCGCAAAAAATCAACTTATTTTCCAATTTTTGGGCTAATTCTGCTCTCCCAGCAGAGCCCAGCTCGGCCTCTCCCCGCTCCTGCTCACCCCAAATATTGAAGACCCACAAATATTTCCCCTCTCCCAAAGGATTCCCGAGCCCATCCCGGCTCCCTCGGGGCGGGATTTAGCTCCTGGGATTCCACATGCATCCCATCCAGGGCTGCCTCTGTGCCAAGATAATTCCAGTATCTCCTGTTTCCGCTGGAGGCAGCCGATGGACAGCGTGGGAAGAGCTGCTGGTGCATCCCAGCGTTCCCCAAACCCCGTCAGTGACATCATTCCCGGCTGGAATTCCGGGCACTTAGGGCACAACCAAGGAGAGAAAACGCCTGGAAATGTAAAGTGCCGTTTTATTTATTATTTCCCCTCCTCCCCCCCCACCCCAATGATGAAAATATCGAGTTTAAAAAAAAAATTAATTGCACCAACAAACCGCTCGATCCAAACTCTCCTCCTCCTTTTCCTCCTCTTCCTCCTCCAAAACCCAGCACCAAAACCTATGGAAAACAGCCCGAATCTTTAGGAACTGTCCTCTTCCCCACTTCCCACAGAAAATAAGAGGCAAAAAAAATCCATCACATTGAGCACCCTGGAGCTCCGGAGTGACTTGTCCGGGCGTGAGCTGAGCCAGCAAGCACAGAACCCCCCCAAATCAGGGGTGTGCCCCCCCCCCCCCAAAAACTGGGGTATTCTTCCCAAATCTGGGGTATTCCTCCCAAATCTGGGGTATTCCCCCCAAAAATGTGGGGTATCCTCCCCCCAGGTTTGCCCTGAGCAGGGCAGTGCCTTCGTCCAGCGCTGGAAAACAGGGAAGGAAAAGGTACACGAAGGGTTTGGGGTTCCCAAGCCCTGGCACTTCATTTTTTGGGGGGGGGGGGCTGCAGTGGTGGGACCTGAGCAGAGGCAGAGGGGATTGGCACCTGCCAGCCTGACTGGGTGAAAAAACAGCCAAAAAAAAGAAGGGAACCACCCCCCCCCCCCAAAAAAAAAAATCCCAACTCCTCAGGGGAGGCTTGGGGGGGGTCTCAGAGCCCTGGGTGGGGGGAGTAGGGGAGTGACTCACCCCAAAATACACACGGAGGGAAATGAAGGGGTGGGGGCTCAGCTATGGGGCCCTGCAAGGTCCATGATGGGAGGGACCATTCCAGCCCTTTGGAAAACCCTCTGGACTCGGGATAATGCAGGTCTGGCTGGGTGGGTTCATCCCCACACTGGCCCAGGGGGGCTCCAGGGGGGGCTCCAACAGGGAATCCTGGAGCTCTGCCACATCCACAAGGGATGAGGCCACCCGTGGGATGGGGGAGAGGCAGCTGGAGAGGTGGAAAACCAGGGTCTCACCCTTCCCTGTGCCCTGGGAATGGCGGGGTCAGGAGAGGGACCCCAAATCCTGGGCACGGCCACGGTGACCAACCAGGCTCTGCTCCCACCTCTCCGGGCTGGAAGGAGCCAGGGAAGGAAAATCCACGCTCTCCCCTCATCCTGACACTGAAAAGTGGGAGCCACAGCCCTGTGGGGATTTGCCCACCCCCAGCTCCCACCTGA